TTTTTTTTTGAATGTGGTCTGATGGACCACACGGATCAGATATTAAACTGATCAGAAGAGATACTACACTTGATCGTAGCCAAAAGTCCAGCTTGCGGCACCTTTTTCCCGGTTTGTGGGGAAATGGAGACAAAGGTTTCGTCGAGGGAAGGTTTTATGACTTTTCCCTCCTTTTTTTTGGTTAAATAATTTGGAGAAACTCTCGATTTATCCTTGGTCAGGGGCCAAGGTCCACTGAGATTCCTACCGTCGTCACCGGAATAGAACGCCCGGTCATTATAGCCGTATCTGGTGCAATTTTCAGTCCAGATACAGGTATAATGACCGGGTGTTCTATTCGGGTGAAGACGGTCGTACTTAGCATTTTTTACTCTAGTTTTATTTTGTGTGTGGGATTGTGTGCTCAAGGGGTAAGGCTCGGCCTGAGGTTGAAGGCATGAGGACTGACGACCCCTTATTCTGATTATGATTCCGATTTCACTCTTTTTTCTTTTTCTCTTTGATGAGTTTGATTTGAATTTGGAACCATTTCTTGATGTGTGCCATACTTGCTTAGGGGTTGGGCCATGCCAATACTCTCTCTCTCTCTCTCTCTCTCTCTCTCTCTCTCTCTCTCTCTCTCTCTCTCTCTCTCTCTGTCATTCCAAAAATTTTGATGGATGTCCCCAATTATGTAGAATTCGCTGTTGAAGACAGGCGATGATTGTTGGCAGATGATGATGATGATGATGGATGTGGGGCCAAAAGCAGAGAGATGCAAAAGCACTGACTGAGTTGCAAGGCATTGGATGCATACATACGGTTGGATGCATACATACGGGGGAGATAAGTCTGATGAGGTTCGTTGATGCCTCGCCCTTATGCTGCACTTCAATGTTGTCTTTCTTTCATATCCCCCTTTTTTTTTTTTTTTCAAACGATGTAACATAACAAGCTTAAGAGACGCGGCCTGCTGCACCAGGGGAATGAGTTGTGAAGACAGAACATGGACAGAAGGTACTGGAAGGGAGAGAGCACATGCGGTGTTACGTAGACAACTACATCACACGTACGATGAGTCTCAGATGAGATCCGTTTCATGACAGAAATTATGAACATCTCGTGGATATCAGAGAAACAATCGTCACAGAGACAGTGGACATCTACTGTACAGACGAATTCTCTGTCCATTTTTCCTGACAGTGTGCGTTTCTGTCCCCGTTTCTATCTGTTGCTCCGTTTTCTTTTACCCTCCCAAGCAAAGCTTTCATCTTTGACTCTCTCTCTCTCTCTCTCTCTCTCTCTCTCTCTCTCTCTCTCTCTCTCTCTCTCTCT